ATGTATACAGATTTTTATTTTTAGAGATTTATTATTTTTATTTATTTATTTAGAGATTTATTTTTTTAAGAAAAATTATAAAAAAACAAAGATATATATTTTCGATTTTTGTTAATTTTTTTTTAAGTTTTTCGTTGTAATATGGCTTTTAGCACATTTTTGTAGTTTTACCAATTTTAGAATTAATACAGAAATTGCGAAAATACGAACCAGTAATTTGTTGTGGAATAATGTCAGGATTTTTCTCGTCGCTTTCACTGAGATCGCCGCTAGTTTCCAGCTTTCTGAACGGGCTGCTGGGATGCTTCTCGTCCGCGAGCAAACTGCATCCCTCTCGGAATCGTAGTTCCCTCTGTATGGGAACAGCCTTCGTCTGCTTCGCGTGATCCTCCATCTGCGACTTGTTCTGCTCCTCTACGTGTGTGTGCTGAATCCGTAAGACGACCATTACTATAACCGCGACGATAATGAGGGCCATCACAACGCCGATTGTCACGCTCAGCATTGGTGTCAAAGTGTCATGTTGTCTCGGTCGTTCTGCAATGCCCATTGAAGAATTGAAAATGAAAAGTGATCGATATCGAACATAAAATCGATATGATATTATCATGTAATTATTTTAAACAGCTTTCAGTTACATATATTTCAAACACAAATGACATTCTCTTTAAGATCTTTAGTACATATGATGATTTTCCGGTTTTTTTACGATGAGTTATTTGTGTCTAAGGTTAATTTTCATTATTTTAACAAATATAAGAATTATTAAATAATTCTTATATATACTTTAATTATCTTATATATACTTTTATTTACACCTTTAGAAAATATTTGTAAGATTGTGTTTTTTTTTATTTAAAAAAATTATATACAAATGTTATAACTAATTACTGATACTAGTTTCTCGAAGAAAAGAAATATACAAGACACGAATGACACAATCGTATGTACTAAATGTTAAATCCTTTTAAGCATTTTTTAAAATTTATATGTGGCATTCGGATTTTTAACGAATTACACGATACAATAATATGTTACACAAAATGTTAATAACGCAACAGATCTGGCTTTCATAAAAATACAAAAAGTATGTGGCGTAAGTGTCACGCTTGTTTGCAAATCCCGAAATGCAACGAGTAATGCCCTAAATATAGCCGCATTTTATTTTAATAGAGATATACATAAAGCACGGACATTGGTGATGGACAAATTAAAAATTATGATAACAATCGCATCAGACAAACAACGGGAAAATTATCCGTCTAGTAGTATTAAATTGCCAATTCCTGACCCGATTTTTCGCGTCGGGTCATAAAAGCGCTGGGAGCTTTTTACACGGCTCGTCCGACGAATTAATATTGAGTCGATAACTTTTCATCAATTCGACCAATTGGCAGCGGCTTTTCGCTCGCACTGCTTCATCGACGTGAATTTTTCCGTAATTATCTAAATCTCATGTAGCCTTTTGGGATTAATATATGGCGTATAACATCGAACGTGCATGAATACCGCGCCATAAAAAGAGAAACACGCTATAACGCATAAAAGTTGAGAATTTTAATTATTATTTCTATACATACAAATAGTAAAGAATTTAAGAAAATAATTATATTCACTATAATTGCGATTGTATTTACTAAATGAAAATGTTTATTTTATCCACATTTATATTTTAATATTTTATTATATTATTAATATTTGAAATTATCTAATTTTTATAGTAATTTTGCATGTTTAAGAGAATTAAGGCTATTATTACTAATATTGTAGCAGTAGTAACCATAAAAATGGAGCTCCTAATTATAATTATTTCATGCAAGTATAGTCACAAATATGAAACTTTTTTTTTCTCAGAATATAAAACGATATCTCTCGTCGATTAATTGTAATTTTCAAATCAATTGAGTTTTATAATTTTATTTGCCAGAAATATGGATTTTGTTTCGAATTATTTTTTCCAAAAATACGATGTAGTGTCGTGTGACTTTTCACTTTAAAGAAAATTTTGTATTGCAAGCAAAAAGATGTGAAAATCATATATACATTACGATGTGAAGGTTCTTGAATCAATACTTTCTCGCAACTTTCAAGCAAATCGAGTACCGAAGTACTTGTTCAAAAGATATCGAAAACTTTGAAGTTGTTAACGTTACACAGTATAATAGGAATTTTTGAAATATTGAACGAGTATCAATTTACTTTAATATACAAGGCTACATGTATTGGAACATACCTTTCTATCATAATACATTTGTATGCGCATATTTCTCGTCAAATATTTTGTCAAGTAATTCAATTCTTAACGAGAGAATAATATCAGCGTAAAAATAGCGTGATCGCTGGTCTCGGTTTCCAGAAAAAAATAAGGGAATATTCTCACCTGACTCGGACGTCAGTTGTTTTTCCGGTAGCCTTAAAGTGCCGGCCTGCACCACCATTGCCTCGCTACGACCCTTGTCGTTGTAGGCGTAAATGCAGGCCTGATAAAGGGCGCCGGACTCCAAGTGAGTGACGCTGAAGCGCGGCACCGGCGACGTCAGATTGGCACGCAACTCCTGGCTGTTGCTCTCGCGCACCTCCAGCAGAAAGGATTGCGGCAAACCGCCGTTGAAGCCCTCCGTGCATCGCACGGAAAACGAGTTGGTCGACGTGTTCGAGGTCGTGCAATTGTGAACCATGTCTGGTCGGCCTGTCACGGATAAGGTTCGCCTGCGTTTTAAAATGCACTGCGTGCACGACAGACTATTCACGCGCTCGTAACAGCTCGTAATAGTCACAAAGCCACGAGAATATCGCGGGGTAATTTTTTCTTTCAGATTCTCTCCAAGTGCGCCCTTTTGATAATCGATGAAATTTTGCGCGTCGGAATTATTAGGTAAGACGGATAATAAGAGAGAAAATAGAATGATGAAAAAAATGATCATTGATGTTAAAAAGGTATGAAATCAAATTATACATAGCGATAAAAATTTAAAATATTGATGATACTGATGCTTTATATATCAATTTTTTTTTAAAATAACTATTGGAATCTCTTTCAATGTTTTAAATAACTGTTAAAACAATATTGTCGAAGCTTTGACAGGTTTAGATTAAAATATTATATTTGCTTGTCTCCATTCGGCATTGGCCAAGCGAATCGTAGAAATAAATGAATTAACGATGTAATATTGAAATATTTTCATTTTGTATGCCAACAACAGGAAAAATTTTTCGATTGTTAACAATTTTGCGTTGAGATTAAATAAAAAATGTAAGACAATTTTTTCTATTCACCTTTCAATTTTATATTTCGTAAAAAATTGACTTGTCGCCTTTTATTAAAAATAGTTAATGTTCAATATAAAAGCTACATTTTTCTATAGTTTAGAAAAATGGGATAACTTTTTTTCTCTCCCGAATCGTGCAGCTCTAAAATACCTCATATATAGATATATTCGGAATCGAAAAATTACAAATGAAAAATATGAATGAAAAACACAGTACGAACGTAAAAAAATTGCGTAATAACTTCCCTGTAGTTTCTCGAAGTTTGTTTATTTCTATTTTTTGCGCTATATTAAAGTGCGCTGAATTTTAAGCGAAACTAATTACATAAGTACAGCGGTAACTCTTTAGCGTCAGCAGTTTACTGCAGTTTACTCCAACTTTCAATGCGTTCTTTCCTCGCGTCAAAATGATGTATAGTTTTATACAGACGGCGCAAAAGGGGGTAGACATTGTGAAACGTATCGTTTCGCGTGCGGTAGATTCGCGAATCAGGGCGTGATAGTTACCCTGTAAATCCGGCGCATGGTGCGCTGGTGCATACAAGCCACTTGTAACCGAGTCGGCTGTAAAGATATACGATTGTCTGGCTTTTTTTTCTATAAAGGCATTAGCCGACGGTATACTTCGCAGCTCGTAAAAGCCGGTTAAAAGGGCGCAAACGAAACGATAACGGCATATTGCGTCGTGAAGGGACAAGAAAAAGAAAGGGAAATAAAGAAAGGAAAATAAGCAGGAATATGCCCGAGTTGTTTTCACGTTTATGGTTGCTGAAAAATCATAGCGCGCATCAGACACCTGCTACCGTCTCTCGCGGTGTCCCCGTTTTATTCGCCCACCGTTGGATTGGTTTTTTTTTTTTGCGGCGCATGGTACGAGAGCTGTTTTCCTCTGTCCGGAATACGCTTATTCTTGTATACGCGTACACGCGTTTTCTTTGTAACGCAATTCGATAGTAGGATCCGTGAATCGCAATTAATTGGTAACTTGAGTATCGATACGTGGCGGAAACGTGGCTGATATGAGAATAACGGGAATGCCCGTTGCATTGGATCCATTGGGCTTACATTAGATTTTTTTAAGTTGAATTGAAATATAAAAAACAACAATATCAAGTTCATTTATTGTAATGATTTGTTTGATAATTGAAAGAAAAATTGAAAGAAACAGATATCTTTTGCGCTATCACGCTGTAAATGCAGAGAAAGAGAGAGAGAGAGAGAGAGAGAAAGAGAGAGAAGGGGGGAGAGGAGAGAGAGAGAGAGAGAGAGAGAAAGTAATAATGTTTCTTAAGTTTTATCTACATTTCAAAGACTTTTGATGTTCAGAGATAATTCGCGACTTCATTATCATGTTATCTGATTCACGTCGCTATTATAACAATACTAATTGGAACTAATTATAACTCGAAGCCGAACGAAGTTTCTCATAATTGGATGATTTTATTAAAACAATTTACACACAAAAAAATTGCGTCTGTCCAATTTTATACTAAGATTCAAATTAGTTATTTAATTATGCAAATGTGAGACTTTAGAAACCATGAATAAAATCCAAATTCTAAATTAACATAACAGTTACAATTCCCGAAAGATTTAAATCCCAAAGGATTAAAACTTTTAACTTTATTGTTATTAGTTTCACTAATTTATGAAATTGTAGGCTAATTAAGCGTAGGATAGAAACTCATTTTGTACAAGTATTAAATTTTTAATATGCAAAATATCGAAGAAAGGTTTTAAAATTATCATCCATTGGTTCCTATTATATTGTTCTTTCTGAAAAAGGGATTTCTTTCCATTTTCTATCTATTCATTTTCGTTCTCGCCAAGGAGACAATCATAAATTAAAAAAGGATCAGATTGAATTAGTACGAGAAATATTGTATCTATCGATTTTTTTTTTAATAAAAAAAATTGTTTGCAATTTGCATAATTTTGTTACGCCACATCACGTAAACTCGTTGTGGTGATCAATCTTCTGGTCTAAATCGAAAATTCACTCTGCGTATCAGCAGATACGTCGCTTCGCGTTTTCGCGAAATATGATATGAATGCAGAGATCCCTTACCCGCCGGTATAATGTGATATACACAGGGCACTTGTTGTTGCCCGATGTGATTGCTGGCCCAGCAGAGTAACGTGCCGTAATCTAATTCCGTCATTGGTGTGTATGAGACGATGGAGGATGTGCCAGCTCGCGCGATATGGCCGGCCGCAACGTCGATACTCTCGGCGGAGTTATTAAAGGTCCACTTGAATTGCACTTCCGGCGGATTTGCATCCACTTGGCAGGATATATTCGCCTTCTCCTGTTTCGCTACACCGTGGACCTTCGTCTGATTCGGCTTGCACGTAGGAGCGACTGCGGAAACAAACGTCGAATGTCATCGATAAATAATTGGGGCATGAAGGATACTTCGTCTTGTAAGACTCGTGAATTTCTTATGCTATATTAAATTCGCTGGGAATGATTTACCGATATTTTGTGATCTATTTTAAGTTTCTTGTGAAGATCTAATAAAGAAAATTATTATTCGATTATAAACAGGATGCACAATTATCGAGATATCATTGTTCTTGAGATATCTTAGTTTCCATTATTAGAAAGATTTCTTAAGAAATCTGGCTTAATTTTCTTATTAAAAATATTATTTCAAAATTAAAAAATTTTTACTATCTTGATAATTCAGACACAAATTGTATTTTTAAAGTATTTCTTATAATTTTTTAGATGTGAGAAGTTACTGTCGTCTATTTAAATGAATAAAGTTTAATTTGCATATTTTAATTCCAATGCTAAATAATTCCGCAATAATAATAACAGAGCTAAAATAAAATCAGAATTTTTAAATCCACCTCAAAATTCACTTCAATATTATTTTTTTAAATAATTGGCCAGACAGTTTAATTTTCAGTATTAAGTAATTTTATTATTAATCAAATTAGACATTCTCCAAATCAGCTTTATCCTTTTATTATCTTCTTTTACAGCTGCTGAATAAAGTATTAATAATGCGCTTATTGTAATTTTTAACTGGGAATTTCTATATTAAATATATGCGAGCTTCACAATAATACGCTTTGCGTTTCGTATACCCATCTGACGAAGCTTTCAAATAAATTCAAATATTGATTAACAAAACTATTGCAAAATATTTCGATATCGCATCCGATAATCTGCACGCAAACGAATAAACAGCTGGGTATCCTGATAATATTGTACACGCAATCCGCGAGGGACGTATAGATGTACGTATATAAGCCAGGAATTAAAATTTCACAGCGGAAATTTACGCGAGTACCGAATCTTTACTCATTATAATTCATTATTAATTGAAATTGATCGAACACATTTCCGTTGAGAATCTTCGTACCATCGTTTCGTTATTATTCGCATTCTTAGTGCGATAAATAATCCGAATTATGAATGTAGCTATATCCAGAAAATTCAGTACAGTATTTAGTACTGTAATAATCTGAATAAAATCGATAAGCATTAACAACCATATTTCAGCATATGTTGAAATATGATAAATAACTCGAATTATTACTTAGTTACATCAAGAGGATTTAGTCAAGTACTTAGGATTTTAGTAATCCGAATAATAGATTAAAATCGATAAAGTATTAATGTCTATATGTTTCATTATATTTGTTTGGCATGTTTTTTGAACAAATATTTTCGAAATATTTGTCTATTAAGATTAAAATGAATCACCCTGTACTGAAATATTTCTGATTAATGTTTTTTATTTTGTGTTAACTGCAAAAGCATTAAAGTTGGTTAGAAAAAATATTGAATAATAAATAATTATATATATAAAAAATATAAAGATTAAATAAAAAGTTGTAATCACACAGCTGTAAAGTGATAGATATCTGTTATTATTGACATCATATAAACATTATTTAGCACTTAAATTCAATTTGGCTTTTATGCTTCTATTTATTACTTCGTACTAAATAATCATCTCGTATTAAATAATCAATCTTTAAAACAATTCCTAATTTAATTTATACTATTTAATTTATATTCTGATAAATAAATTCTCCGCGGTGTCTATCCTATTCAATATTCTATAGTACTATTAACGTAAATGTAAGAATACGTACACATCACGTTCAAATAAAAGGGCGAGCTTTCGCCGTCACCCTCAGTATTGTATCCCACGCACGTGTAATTGCCAGCGCTTTTACGATCAACTCCCTGCAGCACCAAACTCTGATTGCTGATTATGATGCCTTGCGTGATATTGTGATGGAGTGCCTTGCCCTGAAAGAAACACGACGATTGACGTCACTCGCTGTTACATTAAACGGGCTACGTTGGGGGTGAAAATTACTTTGTGTGTGTGCGTGTGTGTATGTGTGTGTGTGTGTGTGTGTGTGTGTATGATACACACACACGAACGCGAATAAACTATGGTGTAACAACCTCTCATTTGTCAGAGACAAAAAGAAGATAAGAGTGATCATCGCGACAGAGGCGAGAAGTTATTATAAAAGTTTGATATTTGGAGCGTCGAAGTTTATATTCGGTTTTAATGTAAGTCGATGCTCTTGCGTGGCGCACGAGCGAATACACCATAATCGAGCTTGTTAGTTGGCGAGAAACCGATCTGTTTACGACACTCGGGTTTTAGAACTTTCTGAGAACGAGAGATACGGATGAATTACTGGCGACGAACATTGTTACGCATCTTCGAAATAGATTAATGTTAATAAATTCGCAGCAAGGAATGAGAGAGTATTTGCGGAGATTACATCTCCGGAAAATGATTCACGAATATATTCTGATTTTTTTTCAGAAATTCTTCTCTGGGAAATATTTTTCTATGTACCGTGGTATAATTATGATAAATTCTACTTCGCGTGTGGATGCTGTACATATGCTAATTGGTTAACGTAAAGTTGATTCATTAAAGATAAAACTTTTAAATAAATCTCGCTGAATAAATTATTGTAATTTCAAGTTTTGCGTCTCCGATTTCTTTGCTAAATTAATTTCTTGTGTGTTTGTAAAATGTTGTAAAATGTTTAAATCAACTTGTTTTTATCATTCAACAGTCGGTGATTTTCTACAAATGTTTTCTATCTCATATTTCATTTTGAAATAATTAAGCTTCGTAATAATTTGATACATTATTGAGTATCTATATACATAAACTAAATCTCTTCATTGATTATCTTATCCATTTTTATATGCATTTATTTGCTTCTGTTTACATTGCCGATGCTTGTCTTCCAAAGTAAGGAGATACTCCAAAATATCAAGTACTTGGAAGTCAAAACAACATTTATAGCTTCCGCCTGAGTAGTAGCAAATTTGATTGAATGCACTCAGTACGATTGCAAATAAAAGCCATTGTATACAAATTACGGTAAAAATGTGTGTTTGATATAAATAATAATATAGAAATGGAATTAAATCGTAAAATAATACTCAATAAATTTTATTGTGTTGTTGGTGAAATATATATATATTTTATAATTCAAATACTGCATTTCACTTTTACACTCAGATTAAATCAGTGTACATCGGCTTTAACGTGCACTAGTACGTCCAACAAAATTCACTATAAAATTGTGTTTTCGCTCACCTGATGTCGCCATTCCACTTTGTACACTGAAGGCTCGGCCTGTATGAGACAGTCGAAGTAGACGTCCGTGCCCTCGCGTATGGTGTTAGGATTCAGCGACGTGCCGAGCTGGATCTGCGTCTCTGGCGTATCTGCGAATCACGACCTTCGATAAATCGTCAAAATCGACCGGAATCCCCGGCGTCTGAATAAATAAGGAAAGAGCATCGCGAGCGCGCCCCGGGGAACAGAACCGGATTCGGGGCTGTCGTCGTTTATGAGCTTACATTGTATCTGGAGTACCCAGCCGTCCTCTATCGGCGCGGTTCCCATGATTCGATTTTCAGCTTGACACGACAAGTGTCTGCCTGCGTCTGCTTTCGTCGCCATGAAAGATAAAACGCTGGTGGTCGTGTTCCCATCGACGGAGGTCTGTAACAACATTATGATAACGTTCATCCCCAGTTTCCGCCCGTCCACCCCTCCGACACTCGACATTTATTCTCTTTTTCTTCATCGACATGATCATTTGCTTACCCCCACTGTCATTAATGGCGAGAGCAACCGTTCAACCCCTATATATTAAAAGCGTATCTATCATCTGACCTGAAGGGTCAGAGCTAATCATAGTTGAAATTCTCAATTAATTTCTCGTTACCTTTCTCGAGAGATAGGCCTACTTTTTTTAACAATAAAGAAGTGACTTCTATCTTTTTTTAGGGCAGAACCGTCATTACGTCAAAGTTTCACTGAATTATTCAATGTATATGTATCAGATAAATTTCCGCAACTTATGTAAGAAAGTATACAAGTAATAAATAAAGATCTTACGCTTTCTCATTTTTCTATGTTGTTTATACCTCAACTGTCTTCTTTATCTAATACATCAAAAACGCATATGTCAGTACTAAGAAACTTTATTTTATGCATGTACATAGATAATGTATGCGCATATAGATAATATAATTTTTAATGTATTACTTCTATCAGTTTTTTAAATTAAAGAACAATTTTTTTTAAAGACGCGCTATTCTTTATAAATTTTACAAATTTTAATTTTTTAAAATGAAATTCTCAATTTTCTATCTAATAATTAATTAAGGCAACAGGAATTAATATAGGCATGTCAAAACACCTATTTGTTTGTATTATACAATTAATTCAACAGATAGCAGTAATAGGTGGTGCAGATTGTTCACTTGACTCGATTGCATCAGTTTATATTGCTCAATTTGTTCATTCTGTTATCGTCAGTAAAGCAAAATACAGATTGCTGTGATATGATAGCGATGTAATATTTCATAAATAAATAATTGCTTCCTAAACTATCAGAAGATTGTTATTAATTTTAGTAGTTGATGTTATCTCTATATTCATACTTTACAGCACTATATTTAGTTTATATATATATTTTTGTTATATTTTTGTCACATTTTGTTTATAATCGAAGAGAAGAAATTTCTTGTGGAATTAATGTGGTCAACCTAAGTATACTGATAGTACACACATTAATTGTATATTTTTTTTGTATTTTTCTTGTTATTATTTCAGATTATGGATTTTAATTCAGTTGCTAAACATCGTGAGTAGATAAGCAAATAAGTAAATAAGTAAATGAGCATTGCTTGGAAAATAGTTCTTTGTGAATTCTTCTATGTCAACATTAATAAACTTATAATATTTATATACACTTATAAATTATATAAACTTATAAAAGTAACGATGAATTACTTCATTTTCTATTTTTTTAACACCTTTTTTTACAAAAAAAAAAAGGAATATACTTAGGTCATATTGAGTACATATGTATCCAATATATATGCGCATAATGCTATTTCTTTTTAAATCTACTCTACCTGTATGTATTTGAATACGTCTCATATTTTTTATTAACATTCAGAAATGTTCTTTCTTTTGAATGTGACTATTAATTTTCATTTCTAGACTTACTAAAAAATTAGAAAAAAATCGCAAGCTTAGTAGAAGATACAGAGAGAGTCTCGTTATTTTATTTACTGTCAATGAAGCATATCATATATCGTTCTTCATAATAAAAAAGGCTGTTCTTTGAATATAAACTAATAATCTAACATTTTATATTCAGACTTTATTTTATATTTTATATAGTTGGAGAAAAAGTTCTGCGGAATTTTGTTAGCTCAAATACAGAATATATTTATTCATATATTATTATATACAGAATATATTTGTTGCAAAATTTTTGACTATCTGACGCGAAAGCTGAAAGTTTTTTCTAAAAGTTTGTTTTTAAAAAATGTTCCTATGACTTTTTGTTACCAAGTTACACGCGGATTAAATAAAAGAGCATTTTGATTTTAATTGCTCATAACTTCGTTAAAAATCATGGTACCGTAATTAATAAAACAGATTCTTAAAGCTGAAACGTTGCTCTATCAAAAATGATGTAATCGTCAATTTAAAAAAAAGAATATATGTATAATTGAGTGATAAAAAATGTGATATTACTGTCCTTTTTTCCATTGCGCAATGATGATAAAGATAGTAATATCCCACACATTTTTAATTTCAAATTTCTATATATTTTACATTTAAAAAATTAGCATGATATTATTTGATAGAGCAATGTTTCAGCTTTAAGAATCTGTTTTTTTTAATTGTAGTAAGATAATTTTTAATGGAATTATGAATAATCAAATTCAGAATGTTCTTTTTTACTTAACTCGCGGATAACTTAAGAATAAAAAATCGTAGAAACATTTTTAAAAAACGATTTTGTAAAAAAATTCCAATTCTTTCACGATATAGATAGTCGTTTTTATAAATTTTTTTTGGCACGTGACAGACTCACAAAGAAAGAAGAAAATTTTCCCTTTTTTTATGCTTATAGTTTTCTATGTATAAAAATTACAAAATCCACATAAATTCAAAAAATGTAGTAACCATTCGAAAGTAGAGATTTCAAGCTTTAAAACCCTTTTTTAAAATTTACATTTTGATTATTTTTAACGAAGATATTGTATATATAATTTTGAGCTAACAAAATATCGCAGAACTTTTCTTCCAATCCAATACTTTATTTTATTCTTTAAATTGGGACAAAAAATTGTAGAAAAAATTAATGGTAAGACATATTTATGATAATTGAGATTATAATGTTCGATTTAAAACCGCGAATATCGATTCGTTTAATTTGGAAACTTGTTCAAGTAGTAAACGCCTCTGAATAATCAGACATGCATCTCCGTGAAAACCGCGCGCCCAAGGACTTCCGATTCGATTTACACCGTCGAGACGCGCACTCAATGTAATTTGCAAGCTCAACCACGGCTCGTACAGCTCCTTAAAGTGACCATAAAATAAGGTTCTCTCTTGCGCACGTGTACCTCTGTATGGCCGTGCACAAGTGTGTCTCATTGCAAGGGTGGCAGGAGAATTATCGTTATCACAAGTACGAACTCGTGGTAAAAGCGTCGTTAAGCGTGGAATAATTTAAATCAGAGTCCACGAATTTGCGCTTGTAATTAAGGCGAATCGATGCCTTAATGAACGTCCAATACGTCGAGTGGCCGGTTAACCATTCCGTCTCGTTGCGTCTATATATACGATCGCCCAAATTTATCTCTCTCTATCCGTACAATCCTAGAAGTTTGCAAACGTACGTATCAGAATGGATAAAAACATGATAAAACCGCCTTTTTTTTCGTAAATGAATTATTCGTCAGTTAACGTTTCATAAATAGTGGCCCGTTTGATAGCAGTGACGAGTAAATAACGTGTATTAACAACGGAAAGCGAACTTTTTTTTTTTACTATCGATTTTGATCACAAAACAAATCGAATAAAGCACGTGGGTGAACGTGTGAACCAATTTTATAACAATCGATCAGTACGACCTCAAAAACATTCGTATGAGAATTGTTTTCCCTTTGTTATCCGAGCAAATACTTGTCGAATAGCTCCGAGGTGTCGAAGGAAAAAAAAACGAGAAATATTTTTTTTTCTTGTTTTTACCCTTTTTCGATTTTCGCTAAAATGGAAACTACTTTGTTAAACGCTATTATCCCCTTGGATAAAATTGTGTAACAAAATTTATATTGCGTCTCGTCAATTTAATATTATGATATAAAATAAAATCCAGATAGTTAATTTAGACTGACAGCATGTGAGGATTTTTTTTAACTTTGTTACAAATCATGTAAAATTCAAGTTTCGCTTCTGCATCTCTAATATTTCATATTTTAATTAACATCTCGTTATTTCCATACCGAAATTAAGCATAATTCATAATTTTACGCTATTTAAAAGTTCCGTAGCTTACGAAAAATCAAGTTCGTGGATTATGAAGCACCAGTAATAACTCTGCTTTACGTTTCGTGAATTAAACATCCATGCTCGTGCAAACACTCGCTCCGTCCAATGAACTGAGTTTAGGGATTACGCTCCACGCATAAAACAGGAATAGTGGAGGGTAGTCAGAGAAAAACGCATCGTCCACATTACTCATATTCCTGAACGAAATATAACGCAAAATTTTTCATAAAATCTCAAAATATTCCGAGTTTTTTCAACTTTCTCGCGGTGTGTCAGAAAAAGTGGATTCACACACAGTCGAGGCTTCAATCTCGCGTGAGAGCGCGACGGATGCGGGGATTCCTCTCTCCCTCCCCCTTCCCTTCCCCGCGATTCTGTCGCGCGATTAAAAAATAATCGCGGGGCAGAGAGCGCGAATAATAAATTTTGCGTCTTGCCGAGGGAATAAATCAACGGTAACGGACTTGCGCTCTAATTTCGTTCCGATGGCGGCGGAGAGCTTCGCGCCGTTTCACGCGGTGGCCCGCGCAAAGATAATTACGAAATGAGATGCGCCATTCATTAAAAATATATTTCCGACTGCGCATTCCGGCGAGATCGAATCGATTAACATAATTGCTGCAATTTCATGATACGATACGGGGGAAAAATATCCTCGTTTACGAAATATATATATATATATATATGTGTGTATAATATATATATATAGGGTGTTTAACAACTACCGAACAACTTTCCTCTTAAGGACATATTCTTGAGGTAATTTTGAAAATCCTGAATTATAATTGGTTAAAGATAGTATAATTCGAAAACTATTATAACCTCGATATTTTTGTATTAGAATTTTCGTCTTATAATGTTCAAAAAAATCCAGAAATAATAATAGAGGCTCTAAAAGTAAAATGATTTTTTATTTATAAGCATTTAAGGTTAGTTTATAATTCAAAAAATTATTATAGATATTTTTGTATTAGAATTTTTGTCTCAAAATTACCTCAAAAATAAGTCTTTAAGAGGAAATTTGATAGTTGTGAGACACCCTGTATATACATCACGGTAACTATTTTTACGCGCGGTTGCGTAATCGTGAAGAGCTGCGAGAGATGAAGCGAGAAACTCGCTGAGAAAACTGTGTGATTAGTAAGAAGCGGGAAAAGTAAGAAGAAGAACAGGCCTCTTCAGTCGAGACATTCCATCATGGATTATACCGGTTCTCTCGTCGTATTTTCTATCCCTTCAACCCCCGCCGCTTTTGTGTTTAACTTTCTTACGTAAGCAGCGAAACAATCTTCACTGTCGCCTCGTCTAGCGCGGATATCGACTTTGAAACAATATTTTCTCTGTCTGTACACAGCATGAGGTCCTTCACCCCCTTCGCCCTCATCCTTAATCCGCCGCTACCCAGCAAATATTTACGTCGTCGTCTTAAGTGCGGATCAAAACGCGGCGGATACGACGCGCGTCGCGTTGTTTGCGCATCGTTTCTACGTGCATCACCTTTCATCCATGTACCCTGCGCGTACCATGTTTTGCCGGGGTTGGCGCGGGGAAATCGAAGTAGAATAAACAGAAGCCGATGCTCGATTTCGCCCGACAACGGGTCAATTTATTCGAAAGTACGTTCTTTCATTTCGTTCGCTAATCCGCGTTTCCATTGACGTTTGTTTGCTTTGTATACGGAATACCTTCATCCGTTTCTCGCGACAGAAACGCTGTGCCCCGGTTAGAGTGTTCGATTTACGTTAAATCGAAATTTATTTCGCCGCGCGCTCGGAATGAAATTGAATGAATTAATGAATTGTATCGGAATGGAAGAGAGAGAGAGAGAGAGAGAGAGAGAGAGAGAGAGAGAGAGAGAGAGAGAGAGAGGGAGGGGGGGATGCACGCGCATGAGAAGATTTCATTCTCATAGATCAAATATCATCGTAATCACCCCGGTGAGATATTCTTTATTCGAGCTGCATGTAATTAGATTTATCGATATTTGCGACGTACCTCTTCATTGCCGTTGATTAATCCCGTAACGACGAAATGTTACACTTTTTTATCAGAACATAGCGTACGACTCGGTTGTGTAACACTGTTGTACAACAGTTTCTAGCTTTTTCATTTTATTTTCAATTCCATGTAAATCGATGCAAGATTTATACGGAGGGAATTTCATATTTTGTGAACAAAACGTTCAAACTGTTCAATAAACAATTGTTTCATAACACCAACATATTAATATTTTTCTCTTTCTAAAAAAAGAGAAAGAGAAAAACTGTAGATTCTAGTTATCGACTAACCTATCCTAATTTCATATGAAAAGTAATGTTTAATTAAGGAATTAATTTAATTAAAAAATTTTCCGAGAAGTTTTCACTAAAAGAAAAATCGATAAATAAAATGAAACAAAAAGTATGAGATTAATGAACGAGAAGAATCAGTTGAGAACAAATAGTTTATTTACAACTAAAAGTGGATAATACATTAAGAATATTCTTAATTAAAATAAACATAGTTTATATAAGCAATTTACTTATATTTGTTGTGTGTAATTTAATTATATTTGAATATTCTTAACGTTTAATCTCATTAAATCATTGCCGCATCGTACCCTCTTTTATCTCAATGATGCTTAAATTAGGAATATATCTTAACTTATAGCTGTAGGATAGTTTTATTTCTTGTCAATTAAACATAATCCCTGCACGATAGGCTTCACTGTAAACGGCAGTCAATCACGTAATCAGCCTATGTCTTTTTTGGTGTCGTTTAATCCACGGTAATTGAACGTGGAAATTGCTTCGCCACGAAATTAGGAGACACATGTCAACCAGACGAGTCGAAGTACAGTGAGAGATTAATCGTCTTTCGTTAATGAGGAAATTAATCCGTGAATTATCATCAATAACACACAGCCGAAAATGTATCGATTTTAATTAAAAAAGGTATAATTACACGTTCCTCTCGTATTTTCCGATTTATATATCACATAGATAAGTTTCTTTTCTTAAGTTAAATATAAATTAAATAAAAATAAAGAGGAAAAAGATATTTCTCTAGAACTTTTGTGATATCTTCTTACAGTTTGGCGAAAACACAGTAAATATGTAAGAAAAATTTTAAAAGTTTAGACACGCGTAGGACAAAACTTTTTCGCAGTGACAGATGCGTTTTTAATGTATTACAGCATAAACGAAAAATAACTTAACAAGGCATTTATGTCGATAATTTATCTTAGTTATTATATTTGTTTACGTTTATATTTAAAACATTATCACTAGAAAAACAATATATTATAAAAAATGACCAAATAGATTTATAATGTATTTTTTAGCATGATCTTCCATTAAGATCCATTTCCATTAAAGAAATATCATGATCTTCCATTTGTTTAAAAGGGTTAAATATTCAACATGAATTAACGTGATGATCTTGATAAAGGAATCAAGAATTCTCTCTTACTCAAGATTACAAACTCAAGTTTATGCACTGCCGAGAATGGCTGGGTGGAATGTACGTTGATTGTAAGAACGAAAATTATTCTATAAAGGAACACACTTACGGTCTCCTTGGAATCCACTAAGCGTTGACCATTCCTCCGCCAGGTGACGCTAGCTGGTGGTCTGGAACCGGAAGTTGTGCATACCAGGTCGTATTTCTTGCCTGCCGACAGCGGTCGGCTTCCGTCAATTATTTTCACTTCCAAGGGGTTGACTGAAAATTATTCAATTTATTAATTAAATAACGTTTAATATTTCTTATCTTTTTGTAAAATGTTTGCAAAAAAATATTGAAATGATTTTCACAAAATTTGCTAGCAAGAATTTTTAGATACTATTATTTCATTTAAATTCATCAATATCATTAACATAACCTTAATTTAATTTAATAGACATAAACGTTAATATTGTTTCTATTTCTGGTGGTTTCTATCAAAGTTTTTTATTGGTTATTATACAGTTAATTTTTATTATAACATCTTATTGTAAAAGTTTTTTGATCCTTCCGGTCGATCAATTGTGATGAACTAGATAAAACTTTATAATTGAGCTGATAATTTGCTCGATCCATGGTTGCCATACTCATTCACAAAAGTACGTGATTATGTAGATATAATATGTATTTTTGTTTTATTGAGAATGACAAAAGCAAATCGAACCTTATACGGATATATTCCTTCTGAATAATATTTTTACACAATAAGTACCGCACTGATCCTACTGTATACTTTTCTTATATTTGCTGAAACTGAGGAGTATAAAGTTATCATTTTACTTATTGTTGCTTTTATTTGTCACACAAAAATAGTTTCTATTACATTAACCCGAAAGAGGAATGTACATCAGTCATTTTGCCGTACTTTTTCATTTTTATATCTCTCAATTTATTAATAACTGAACACCTTGGATTTCATGCACTAAATTCATAATGTCAAATTATACTCAATTTGAATTATTTTTAATCATTTCTAGGTCGACACTGCTTCTCAATGTGTCGTCAATTTATTCGATTAAAACAATGGAATTAAATAATTCAATTCAAGAAATGTATTATTAAATTTAATTCCAATTTAGATTACTATTTACTAAATGCAAACGTTAATATGGATATTATTTACTCTGAAACTAGCAATTTAACCATAGCGATTTAATTGATTTACATTTTAACACACACGGAAGTTAAAAATAACCAAATGTTGTACTGAAGGAATTATCATTGTTCTATTAGTATTAAACAGTGTGTATGTGCATAAATATATTTCCGTCAAAATGGGGACTTGCTAATGTTAAGTTAAATCACACGTCTACTTCCGGATAAAACGAACAGAAATAATAAATTTAAACATCTAGACAAAAAAATATTTGAACATGTGATTAAATTACGTACCGAATTGAAAAGGTGATTCTGCAGCCCTTTGCAGTCATATAACCGGTATGACGAATTTTAAGCGTGAGATCATAAACTCTCCCTCTCCTCATTAATCCTACTACTGCTCTCTCTCTCTCTCTCTCTCTCTCTCTCTCTCTCTCTCTTTTCCGCTCTCTTACTACTTTATCACGCGCCATGTATCTCGCCGCGCGATAGCTCAGGTACCATAACAAAGTGAATAACTTAATTTAGAGCGGGGACAATTAATCTTGCGTCCCATCTTGCGCGCTCTTTTTCAAGATGATTCAAGTGTTTCTCAAGGTGACTTCGCAATGAGGCTTCGCAGATTTTTTTTATACGTAAACTCTTTCTAACTCGCCTTGTAAGTTTGTGTGCAAAAATGTATGAAAACGAATAAACTAATCGACAATATATATGGAATAAATTTCTTCTTATCTGAGCTGAGAGTTTTTTAGAGTCTTTTTTAGAGTATATACGTTTTATCTGCCACATTTCTTTATCATCGCAGACTTTTCCGAGAAATAAATTTTTCCCAAGTCCCCTTTCGCATTTCAACAAAGTATCTTCAATTTACTGCTTCCGCTTCTCGACTGGATGTATCGGTTTAAAAATTTCGCGGTAATCCCGGCGTCTAGCAAGACAAATTAAAAAAGGTCCGCAATTAATTAACCCCACTCGTTGTTCTAACGTCCTCGCGATAACGGCGCGAGTAAAATTAAGCGCTTGGCTGCCCTCGACCGCTGCTCGTTTCTTCGTTATAGCGGGTCGCTGGCCGCAAGACGCGTACCTTCCTGCACGCCAAATTGACGTTGATAAATCCTCTTTGTTATAAAGCGATACATCATCGGCGTGCACTTCGCTCGCGTACGAGGAATTGAAGTTGTTCAGAAAATTGTCGCCAGTTGTACATAGAACGCCGAGCTATATATACTGTAGAAATATCGACTTATAACTTTCCGATATAGAATGATTTTGAAATTAGTATTCTTTTCATTGTACACAGTTTTAGAATGGTAATAGAATCAATATCATTAAAGAAAGAAAATTCTTAGCAAACAATTAAACTGATATTACTTGTCACTTTGATGTCAAAACAACAGTAAATAACATTGGCTTGTTTGAGTTAGAATTAATATTATTAAAGATATTAAAATTAATATCATCATTTCAATTATTAAATTTTGGTTATGTACGGAAAGAATGATTTTGTTGAAGTAACTAAAAATTTAAGATACAGATTTGAAAATAATTTTGTAGACCATCAAAATAATTGTGTAAAAAAACTCGAGCATGATGAGCAATGTTGCAACGACATTTTGGTATTTAACAATCAGCTTGAACGTCCTACTATAATTATTTTCATGATCCCATAAAGTTAATTTCAGATCTGTAGCCAGCTAAATTTTCAGATACTTCAGCAAAATTGTTCTTTCCGAGTTTGCTAAAGTCATAATAATCTTATAAAATATTAATGGAATGGGAATGTAATATGCTAATGTATTTCGAAAATCGATTCCTAAATTCAAGAGAAATAATAGTTATTTCGCGACAGATTGAATGAGTATTACTGTCTTCGATATTGAACGAGTAAGAGTATTGTGAAGTTTAATTCAAACATCCATATATTTGATGCAAAGCGTAGCGTATATTGTTATTCGCACATCCTCTGAATTTTCCCGTAGCCGCTTGGATAAAGATTTTCATCCGGAGTGCGTTGAACCCGGAGAAAATTGCGGATCCGTTGCGTTGCCCTCGGCTATACCTGTACGTTGCACGCGATGTGACTGAGAATTTATAGAGGCGCGAGTAAGGCGATTGTCGATAACGGCGCAAAATGACCGCGAACGATGGTTTTGCGGATACTGGAAGCACCGCCGCGCAAATCGGTAATGGTAAATGTTAGCTGCGTACAACCATCGGAGGTTTTGGTTATTGTATTTATAGGATCATACATTATGGAAGTTCCTTGATTTACGGCATGATATGAACGACGATAAGCGTCACAAGTTGTATGGACCGAAAATATTCGTACGGAAACGATCTATCTTCGTCGTTCTTTTAAAGTAATTTGCGCACGTCCATTTACGGATCGCGGTAATTATTCGCGAGGACAGCGTATTCCGACGTGACGTCGAACACAGAGCGGGATGTTAGGACGAAAACTTGTCAGTCTTGAATAGCATCAATCGGAGTAAAGGACGGGCATCCGCCTCGTAAATGACATTTATTAATTAAAAAGCGGTGTTGCATTTTTGCACTACGCTGCCACAAACCACTCTTCCATCCTCATTCCAGTAGAGATTCCGGCCATCCGGCGATGAGCCGCATAATGAAATTAATTAAAGCCGATTTCTATCTTGCTGCCCGCGGTGAAATCCTCGCCGATATTATTCTGCCCTACAGTTTTACTTCCACTCAATAATTCAAGATCGATTACGGAATTATGCCGCATGCATACGCTCCATATATCTCAATCGCTCGTAATTTCAGCTTTATCATAAATTTATTGACGAATAAAGCGCGAGCGGTCTGGGATAAAATGAGGATTTTACTGCTATTTTGGGAAAAGCAATTTCTTATCGTGCTTTTCAAGATTTACTGTAATTTTTCAGTACATTCAATATTTGTGGATATACAGAAATGAAAAAATATAAATATCAAAAAAAAATTTAAAAGAGACGATTTTTTTCTAAAGTATTAAAAAATTTAGCTATATGCGTACATAGAGTTAAAAATAATTTTGTTAGACCATCAAAATAATTATGTAGGACGCTCAAGCTGATTGCTAGAACGTTAAAATTTTTTGCAACATTGCTCATACTCGAGCGTTCTACATAATTTTGATTATCCAATAAAATTATTTTCAGATCTGTATGTCCAACTAATTTTTAGATATTTTAACAAAATCCTTCTTCTTAAAAGAATCAAATTGAATTTGAAAAACATTAGAAGCGAGATATATCCCATTTTTCACGAAATTGAGTTACATGGGTTATCATATATTTATGTAGACTCAGCGTTGCAGACAGAAACATCACAAGTTTCGATAGCTCGCGTGGAGTCAGTAAGCGCACAAATATTCCAATTCAAACAGAAACCTCACATAACAATATCTCTTTCTATCCTGAAGAGTCTAGCTTATCTACTTATAGAATAAGTAAGATTTCTTAACCTCTCGATTCAATCGAATGATTTATCATAAATGAAGCAAAAATAGAACAAGTTTGTTTATTCAGCTCGTAAAATATTCATTTTTCCTTAATAAAACGACAGGACCAAATCAGATAAATAGAGTATAGTACTTTAGAATTCCAATTAAATAAACATTTATAGATCACACATTGTTGGCTCGTACAAAATTAGTGTTTGGTGAATCATGAAGCTTCGCTGGAGTGAATAATTCAGTTGGGAATATGTGGGGACCGTCTCTGCAATTTGGTTCAGCTTGTTACCTTGGGGACCTCTATTCAGTGAGAAAGAAACTTACTTAATCGCACCGTGACCGTCGCCGCCATCGCGCCAGGACAACCCGATTGGCATAGTAATATTTCAGGCATTCTAACCCGTCGCCACCGGCAATAAGGCTGTCTTGCCCGACATTGCCGTTGCTGTCGCTGCCGCTACCACCGCCGCCACCGCTGCTGCCACCACTTTCCCCAATTTCCACCCCCTGAGTTACGACTCGGGACTAATTTACATGACTTGCACCGAACTAATTCGAACGGCGGTCGATAGCGCGCCGACTAAAGGGGTTAAAACGACGTTTACTTTATTACGTAATCACGGGGAAACCTAATATTGACAAAGGCGCGACGTGGCAGAGT